CCTTGTGCCACCAGGGAGGCCCCCGTCCCCATAATTTCCTTTTATTCTATCAATTTCTCTATTTAAATTCTCCTTATAATAAACTTTTTTTGCAATATTATTGTTTTCTAGTAAATCATTTAAGTTATGTTTTTCTCATATCTAAATAAGGTGATTGAAACGAAATAAATTTTAAAATGTGTACAGAATTTTAAAAAATGTTTTCATTTACTTTTGCTTCATGTATGTTATTTTTCATCTTAAATCATTCTAGAACATGATGGAATGTTTGAAGTTAGACATTGGTTTTTAAGCTCTTTAAAGGTGTGTGTGTATTTTTTTTTTTCTTTCAGCAGGAAGACAAGCTGTACAATAATCATTATGCCACATGGGACCCAGGTTTCTCCTCTCCATCCCATATGAGTATCCACTGGTGTAATGAATATTCCTATTTGAATAACCTTCAAATATCTCAAAAATGTGACAATCACTCTTCCCTGACTGCTCACTTCTGTACCCCATTTTTCTACCTTGTCTAGTTTTTAGCATCTAATACTTCAAACCAGAAATGAGTATCTTTAAATTTGTCTCCCTCCAAATCTAGTAAGTCACTAATTTGTAAGCAAATATGAGTATGTTTGTTGATATTTTAGATGTTTAAAATTTAATCAGGTTACCCTATTTCACTTGAATGTCTGTGTAAGTGATCTTCCTGCCTCTACATTTACCCTTCCTTCTTTCCTTTCTCCACACTAAGTTAAGTGGTCTTTTAAAAATGTGCCCTAACCTTCCCTTAGAAGTAATTCCAGATTCCTAATGTGGTATATAAGGACCCCAGTGCAGATGACAAACATTAAAATGTCAAGATAGTTTAAGCAAAATAATCTACTGGCTCTCAAAAATAAGAAGTATAAAGCTACTTCCAGAGCCTCGGTGTCTTAAGGATTCTCTCTAGCTCAAATCTGCTCTTATTTTCATGTTCATTCCTTGTCTATTTTTATAAATAGTTTGTTCCATCACTTCTGGGAGAGTAGCCAGTAACTTGATACTGCCACTATAAAGTAACTTAAATTATCAAGTTCTTTCATCTTGTTTTCTCAAGTGCAGAGATATAGTCAACAGAGCTCTGATTGATCCAGCCTCTGTCAGGAACTCAATTTTGTGGTCCAGGATCATCACTCAAACCATATAAACAAAGAGCAAGAACTCAAAGCACACACTAATCCACTGTATTTATCCAAGTTAGCAAGTTAGCTATAAATCACAAGATCAAAAACAATTGAACTCAGAACACAAAATCATACTAAGGCACATCATAATCAAACTCTCAACAAATGGGTAAAAGGAAGCTTCCCTTGGCCTGATAAAGACATCTTTGAAAAAGTACATCTAAAATCACAGTAGTGGGAAATTTAACTCTTCCTTACAGTTGAGAAAATAAGGAATTTTCTATTCACTATATTATTGGAGTTTCCAGTCAATGCAAATATAAGAATGAAAAGCAAGTGTGTCTTCACAGGCAAAATTATGTAGAAAATCTTACAGCATGTACACAAAATACTTGACTTGGTATTTGTCATTGATATGCCATATTTCATAAAACTAGAAAAACTGTTCAAACTAGTCACGAGATCACAAGGCATATGGTAAATGTGCAAACATGAGTTGCATTTTTACATACCAAGAACAAAAAATTTTAAAATAACTCAGTTTATGGGGCAAAGTTAAAAACAGACAAAAAAAAAAAACCCTCCCAGGATTGTCTGAATATGCTACCCAAAAAAGATGGAGCACCCCAAGATGACTGTAGGGAAAAGGAAACTGGACATGGGATATACAGTATGCCTTCTACAAAATTAACGTTTCTCTTTCTCGACTTGGTATTTGTCATTGATATGCCATATTTCATAAACGCTTCATATTTATGCTTCTGTGTATTACATTTTACAATTAAACACTTCGAATGAATTAATTACTGAGCTTGTAAAGAAAGCATTTAAATATACCAACTTTTTAAAGACAAGAACTGTCTTATCCAGCCCTATATGGATTTTCCTGGATAACAAATGATATACAAGTAATAAGAACCTCACTGAATGTTTGCTGAATTGAATAAAATACATATTTTAAAATACAAAATCAATTTTACATGAAAAGACTTTAAAATAATGTGTTGGGTCATGAATGCAGAAAAAAGAATATGGTCATGCTTGTCACTAAGGAGTGAAATGAAGCATGTTTGTTTTTATATTCAATGTGTTTAAAAACAAAGACAATGGCTAGTTTATGGCAACACAATCTCACAGAAGTAATAAGAAATTTGCACATCACATATCCTAGTCAATTTTCTGCTACTTCATTTTTTCTAATAATTCATATGCTGAAGAAAAAGGACTACGGTATACCCATGCTGACACCATTTCCAGTGAACACAACTACTGAGATGCTAGCAATTATTTTTTTTTTAATGCTATAAACTTTACAATGTAAAAGAATATAAGCAAAAATCTCAAAATACCTCCA